CCTCAGCCTCCCAAAGGCGCGGGATTACAGGCTGAGCCACCGAGCCCGGCTGGCTTTTCTTGATAACTAACGATGTCAAGCATCTTGGCATATGCTTGTCAACAACTTGTACATTTTGTACATCTCTGGGGAAACGTCTATCCAGATCCTTTGGCATGGCCCCAGATTTTAAAGAAAGTCACAAAGCCCTATGCAGTTTAAGGCCACCAGGACAAGGCGCCAGGTCGAGGCTCCTTAAGACGCAGGGAGGCAGCCGGCGCTGCTGGAGCTGACTCGTTGGGGGCGGTTCTGGCAGGGCGCCCCGGGCGCGCCGTTGCGTCAGGCAGCAGTTTCACTTTTGAATCTGGGCACCGGCGGTCCGCGCACTCGCCTGCGGCTCTCAGACCGAGTTCTGCCGCGCACCCTACCTCGCTTCCTGGGCCCGAATTCTCGGGCGCCAACGGTCACGGTGAGCTGTGTCCCACCGCCCCCGCCGCGGCTCTCCAACCTGCCGCTTCCCCAAGTCGGGCGGTCTCCTCGGAGTGGGCCTGCGCCTCTGGCACCGGGGTGGAGTCGGCCCTCTCGCACTGGGTGGGGAGATGTGGGCCCTTCGGGGCGGCCGACTGATTCCAGTACCCTCTAAGGAAGCCCCGCAGCCTCAGGCTGGCGAGAAGCCCCAGGCCTCGGGGAAGGCTGTCTTTGGCCAGCCCAGGGGCCGGCCACTGGGTTTAAGTTTGACTCTGAGCTCTGCTCCCAGTTGCTTTCTTGGCCCACCTTCCACTTTCTTTTTGTTTTGAATTGGAGTCTCACTCTGTCACCCAGGCTGGAGTGCAGTAGCACCCTGACGGCCACTGCAACCTCGACCTACTGGACTCAGGGAATCCTTCTGCCTCAGCCTTCCAAGTAGCTGGAACTACAGGTACGTGCCACCATGCCCGGCTAAATTTTTTGATTTTTATTTTAGAGATGAGGTCTCACTAAGTTGCCCAGGCTGGTCTCGAACCCGTGGACTCAGGCAATCCTCTCACCTCGGCGTCCCAAAGTGCTGGGATTATAGGTGTGAGCCACCATGCCCAACTCCACCTTTCACTTTCAGCAGGCTCTGAGGCTTGGAGGTTTCCTGAGGGAGCAGCTGACCCCTCCACTACCACTCAGGTCACCAGTGTTCCTTCTCAGACCCACTTTGGCCTCTGACCCCTGAAGCCTCAGCCTTAGGTGGCTCATAGGACTCTGGGCAAAAAGAAGGCCCTGGAGAACACAGCCAGGATCTGGGGACACTCTGGCTGGGTCTTGCTGTATACCCCTATGCCATGCCCAGGAGGAGAGAGTTCTCTTTCCTCCTCAGCCAGAGGCTGCTGCTATGGTGGACTGAGCATTGGTTTGAGAATCAGGCACCAAGGCCCGGGCCCTCTCCATCTTTCCTTGGTGAGAGGCCCTAAGCTTTGTTGGACCGACAAGGTGATACAACCCTCAGTGGGTGGCCAAGGACTGCTGCCCCTGCCCCTCAACAATGACAGTCCCAGGGCCTGTTTCTAGTGGCCACAAAATAGATGATGTGAATAACCTGAATCCTGCTGAGGGCTGTGAGTGATGTCCCTCCCTGCCTGAAGGTGCTCATGGTCCCGAGGGCAACAGGGTGGACACACTCTCTAACAGGGAGTAATCAGGGACAGGAATATCCCAAGACTAGCGGGGCTGGGCTGCTCTCAAGGGAATGAGTTCCCCATTATGGGAGGCATCCAAGTATTACCCCTTCCCCCACCCTCTCCTGCTCTTCAAGCCCTGAGGGCACAATGCCTGACCTATCTGCCCTCCTCAGGAGCATGCCGTCAGCCTTTGTAGGGGTGGTACGGAGCGTGCTCCGGGAGCTGGACCACAAAGGGGAGCTCATTCCTGTGGACAGTCTGCGGAACTCCACCAGCTTCCGGCCCTACTGCCTGCTAGGCAGGAGGCCCTCAAGCTCATGGTTCTGGAGGCCTCCTTACAAGTGTGTCAACCTGTCAATCAAGGACATCCTGGAGCCTGATGCCCCAGAACCAGGTACTCAGTCTAGTGCTAAGACAGAGCCCTAGCAGGCTGGTTAGAATAGGGGAATGGGCCGAGTCCAGCCTGCTGCCCACCAGGCTCCTCAAGCTTTGGCCTTTTTTGACTTGGAGTCTCACTCTGTTGCCACACTGGAGTGCAGTGGCCGCTCCTGGCCACTGCAGCCTCGACCTGCTGGGCTCCGGCGATCCTTCCGCTCAGCCTTCCAAGTAGCTGGAACTACAGGCACGTGCTACCATGCCCGGCTAATTTTTTTTTTGATTTATTGTAGAGATGAGGTCTCGCCAAGTTGCCCAGGTGGGTCTCGAACTCGTGGGCTCAGGCAGTCCACTCCCCTCAGCCTCTCAAAGTGCGGGATTACAGGCTGAGCCACTGAGCCCGGCTGGAAGGACCTTTTCTTTTTTTTCTTTTTCTCTTTTTTTTTTTTTTTGAGTTGGAGTCTCACTCTGTCGCCCAGACTGGAGTGCAGTAGCCGCTCCCGGTCACCGCAGCCTCAACCTACTGGGCTCCGGTGATCCTTCCGCCTCAGCCTTCTGAGTAGCCGGAATTGCAGGCGTGCACTACCACGCCCGGCTGATTTTTGATTTATTGTAGAGATGAGGTCTCACCAAGTTGCCCAGGTGGGTCTTGAACCTGCGGGCTCAGGCAATCCACTCACCTCAGCCTCCCAAATGCGCGGGAGTACAGGCTGAGCCACTGAGCCCGGCTTGGAAGGACCTTTTCAAAGGTCCCACTGCCCTGGGGATGGGACAGGGCAGTGCTGGTGGGACAGAACTTCGGATCTGCTCTTGCTGTAGGCCTGCAGTGCAGTGGCCCCTTCCAATTCTGCGATGCTGTGGACGGGTTGATGCAGGGCAGTGTGGGACTGGCAACCCCAGGAGAGGGGAAGATCTCGGGTGGGGCCGCAGTGTCCGGCAGCAGCAGTGCCTCGATGAACATGTGCACACTTCATGTCGACCCAAACACCTGGGAGGCCATGCACCGCGAGAGGTGAGCCCTGGAGGGGCGGGATCCCTGCTGACCCAAACAGTCCTGCTCTTAAGGCTACAAGGTTATGACCTTGAGGCATCAGGAAGTCCTAGAGGTAGTGTCAGTGTCAGCACTGAGGGAAGTCCCAGAGGCAAGGGAGAACTGTGACTGGTGGCGCAGTTTGTCGGAAAAGAGGCTGTAGAAGTCACCTGGGGCCTTAGTTGCCAGGACAGTACCCCAAGGGCCAAGGTGACCAGGCAGGACTTGGGGTTAGACCAAACCCCAGGCTGCTGTGAGGAAGGAGTATATTAGACACACAGAGACACAGATGAGGGGACCACTAGCTCAGAATCCACACTTAAAGTTTGAACCCAGGGAGTGGAGGGTAGAGAGATGGCCAGGCAAGGTGGCGGCTCCTCCAGGGGCCCATGCATGCCCACTTCTTCTGGCTGTACCTTGCCCTTCCTACGGGACTCCCATCCACAGACACTGGCAGGAATACCCAGAGAGGGTGCCTGTGCCTGGGCACCCGCAGACTCCTGGATGGCCGTCCACTTCACCCCACCTGGCGGCAGAGGAGCCACCAGGGGAGGGAAGGTGTCCTTTGAGGGGCATGTCCCAGTGTGCTTCCTGTCCCTCGGGTTCTAGGCGCCTGCGGCAGCCCGAGCACAAAATCCTACAGCAGCTGCGGAGTCGTGGAGATAACATATATGTGGTGACAGAGGTGCTGCAGACACAGAAGGAGATGGAAGTCACCCGGACCCACAAGCAAGAGGGCTCAGGGCAGTTTGTACTGCCTGGAGCCATGTGTGTGCAGGTATGTAACCAGCTCCAGACCCTGCCTGGCCCCACGTGCACATACCACGGTGGCAACGGTTGGGGAGCCAGGAGAATAGAGTTCCAGGCAGCAGAACTGGACTTGGTGAAGTCCCCTTAGAACCACTCCCAGCCCACACTTGGCTGATGAGCTGAAGTTGCCATAGCCCGTGTTGACCACTGCTGGCCGCAGACCTGCTACCAGTACCCAGCCTATACTCACACCCCACAATCCAGGGCCCAGTCCTGAGCCCACCATCTCTGTGTTTCAGGGTGAGGGTCAGGGCCATCGGAGCCAGAAAAAGACGATCACCATCCCCTCAGGCAGCATCCTTGCATTCCGAGTAGCCCAGCTGGTTATTGACTCTGACTGGGGTGAGTTGGTGGTGTCTCTGGGGCCCTCCTCTGGCAAAGAGGCCTGGGCAGAACCAGTAGGTGGTTAGGGGCTGTGTGGGCATCTGGCTGTACAACTTCCTAGGTCCAGCGGTTGGTTGAGGTCCTGTGCTCTGGTGTGTGAGTGATTGGGGCAGGACCTGAACTGGGCCAGTGGGTGAGGGGGAAGCTGGGATCTGGATAATGGGCTTCTTCCTGTCTGCCCCTGCCTGGCTGCCAGATATCATCTTCTTCCCGGAAAAGAAGCAGAGGACTTTCCAGCCACCCACCACAGGTAAAGCCTGAGGAACCCTCAGCCTGGCCTGACTAATGGGAGGAGCATATTCCCTTGGCAGTTAAGGTCTTCTGCTTGTATGCTTGGGGAACAGGGCAGCCTTCTGAGGTGGTGAGCACTTCCCCCATACACATACAAGGGGTGATACAGGGACAGGCTGACACTGGGCCTCACTGGCCTCCCTCTCTGCCCTGGGCTGCCAGTGCTGGGGTTGGAGATGGGGGTTGTGAGGGCCTGGGGAAGGCTCAGCTCTTTCTGCTTAGTGATCCACCTGCTGTACTGACCAGCCCTGCTCTCCTCCCCCCATCCACATGCTTCTGCACAGGCCACAGTCCTATTAGGGGCACACGCAGCTGGCTGCAGCAGTCCTTAGGCCTCTCCTCCATATTGGAGTCCATCTATAACCACCTCAGGTTCCTGACAGGTCAGTGTCCTCTTGAGTGCCCTGGGACAACACTTGGTGGACTTTCCTTCTTCCCCTGGGGTCTGCCCATTCTGACAAGGGGTTTCCAGGGCTCTGTGGTCACCCAGGCCGTGCTAGCCCTCTGTCCCCACAGATGGAGCCTCCACGGAGTGCACGGTCACTGAAAACTTCCAGGGCCTGCAGGCAGAGGTGGAAGCCAGTTCCAGGGAACTGGTAAGATTGGAGAGGGACCTGAGTCAGCACCTGCTGAAGGACCTGGGTAGGGTGCTGCTGGACCAGCCAGCCCTGCAAGCTTTGGAGGAGTTGGTGAGTGGGGGCAAGGGCCCAGAGGGTGGACTGAGCCTGCTCAACCAGCCCAGGCTCACCTGCCCCATCTGTTGCCCCCAGCTGGAAGAGGGCCTGTACTGTGGGCGAGCGGAGCCTCTGGATGGTCCCGCAGGCGCTGTCCTCGAGTGCCTGGTGCTTCCCAACAGAGAGCTGGTGCAGGAACTTGCTGTCCCCATCTTCTATCTGCTGGGGGCACTGACTGGTGAGCAGCCCTTGGGGGTGGAGCAGGTATGGAGCAGGGAGGGAAGGATATGGGTTTCCCTAGCTGGGCCTTCCAGAACCCTCTCTTATGCAAGTCTCTTACACAAGGTCTCTTTCTCCAGCACTGAGTGAAATCCAGCACACACTGCTGGCCGAAGCACTGGAGACGAGGACCCTGTCGGGGCAGCTCGAGCTGGTGAGAGGGCACAGGTTGCAGGGGGATGGGCTGTGTCTGTGGAAGGTGAAGGGGCCCAGTGCTGATCTGGGAAGCAGTGCTGTTGGCAAGTGTAGGATGCCCAGGGTCCCCATCTGATCAGCTCCTGACCTGTCCTGGCAGGTGGGGAGCCTCTTGGAGAAGAGTGTCCCATGGGAGAAACACAGCTCTGTGTCCCTGCCCCCTGGACTCCTGGGGAGCAGCTGGGGAGAGGAAGCACCTGCCTGGGTCTTGTTGGAAGAGTGCGGCCTGGAACTTCGGGTGGACGCCCCCCACGTATGCTGGGATCCGAAGGCCCAGGGCCCCACATGTGCACTCTATGCCTCCCTGGCACTGCTCTCAAGACTGATCCAGCAGTCCCGCTAGACTGCACCCCTGGGTAGAGTGTGTGCCCACCCAGCTGCCAGCCCTAAGAAGGCCAAGAGGCCAACTCAGCCATATGGCCAGTTCACCATTAAGCCTGGGAGTTCAAACACTCAATACATATGATATATGAAGGAAATACTAGTTGCTGAATTTTTTAGGGGTCCCGAATCTGGGGTAGGGAGGGTAGGAGTGGGGATTGTGCCCATGCAGGATCGGGAGAAACATCAAGCCCACAATAAGGTGTTTCCCTCATCATCTTGCACCTTCTGCACCGAGGGTCGAAGGAAAGCCTACCCTGTGCTTGAACTTGGCTGTCCTGGTGTGACCAGTATGTGGCCCTGTTCCAGCTCTGCCTGCATGCTTGCCTATAACAAAGGGCAGGGCAGTGTAGTTGAGACAGAGTTCCACCAGGTTTGTGTCTGAGGCATTGAAGGAACCTCTGCTTCGGGGAACTTGAGATGTACTGCCAGAGGTAACAGACCCATCCTCAGCCCACAAAGGCTGGACAGGGCGCAGGTGTGGCTGACTCTACACTCCTGGAGCCACAAAGGATGTTCCTAGAGAAGTGATGACCCATACTAAAGCAGCCGGCCTTTAGTCTGTTTCCCCCAAATTCACTTACTCAGAGGTAAGACTCTATCTGGAAAGAGGAGGCCCACTGGTCTGTAGAAAATAGGTCTCAGAGTTTATGTCCAAGTCATTACTTCATTACTTGCAGAGGCTCAGCAGGGTGGGCCCCAGGGTCTAGGGAGAGGCAGACAATAGCTGATATAGCCAGAAAGTTAGTGTTCTGCTTAGGAATGTGGATTCCCTTGGGGGGGATCGGTCTATCTGCCCAGCCTTCTACCCTGTCTGTCACAGCATACCATGACCACATGACTTGCAGGACTTGCCAAAGAGAAGGGACAGTGGGTTCAGCTATGGCTGGGACATGAAACCCCCAAGAAAACCTGTGCCCCAAGCCCAACAGTGACATGAATACTGAAACCAAAGACAGAGCAACCCCAAATATCTCAGATCTAAGTTACAGAACCTCCTAGAAGCTGGCCTCCCCCCACACAGTGAAAGAAGTTCAACACTCCTCAGGCTCACCATCTTCCTTTGAAAATCCTCTTTCAGCCGGGCTCGGTGGCTCAGCCTGTAATCCTGCGCTTTGGGAGGCTGAGGTGAGTGGATTGCCTGAGCCTGCGGGTTCAAGACCCGCCTGGGTAACTTGGCGAGACCTCATCTCTATAATAAATCAAAAAATTAGCCGGGTGTGGTAGTGTGCGCCTGTAGTTCCAGCTACTTGGAAGGCTGAGGTGGAAGGATCACCAGAGCCCAGCAGGTCGAGGCTGCGGTGGCTGGAAGCAGTCTTGGTGTCAGAGTGAGACTACAACTCAAAAAAAAAATTAAAAAATCCTCTTTCAGGTGACTTGAAAAGCAAAACCAGGATGAATGGGGTGGGAATAGCCAGTTCTTCCTACGAAGATTTAAAGAAGGGAGCACACATGACACACCCCCAGGCCCTTAGATCCTCAAGACCAGGCCTCACAACAGGTCCTGACCAGCTACACCCAAGCCCCATTCAGAGAGTGAACTCTCTAGCAACAACTGGAGATGAGGCAACATAACCCATTATAGAGAACATTTGGACATCAAAACCAAGGCTGACCTGGCCCAACGGGGCCGGAGGTGGAAAGTGAGTGAGTGCCCTCCAATCCTAGCCCCCAGCTAGAAGATTTCTTCCAGCTTTCTTCAGGCGGATGTGATGGACCTGGGGGCCAGAGCATCCCTATGGAGGGACCAGGCCACTGTGCCACCTGGAGCCTCTTGGGATTCCAGCAGAGTTCCAGGGAAGAGACACTCCTAGAGGCTGTGTGGACTTTGCATGAACCTCACACACCCTGGCAGGGAGTCCAGCATGGCTGCCAGCTTTTGGGCAGGGGGACCAAAGCAAGGCAGGAGCGGACACATTCATAACAGATGCATTGTACAAGAGACAGCCTGAGCTCCAAACAGCCTGCTACAAGATGCATGGAGGTAGGCTCCATGGAGGTAGGTAGTGGGTGAGAGAGGTGCTGCTCTCTCACACAGCCACCTCCCCTCCTAAGCCCTAATTCAGGGATAGGCTCTGCATCACTGTTGGGTTTGCTCACCAGAACGTCACCCATGCTCTGGAGTGCAGATAAGCCTGTGCTTGATGGGAGGAGTGGGCATTGCATACTTGTCCCTAGCATCTGGCTCCTGGGTTGCAAGATGAGTGGGGAGGCTAAGCTTGCTTTTCTCTTTGGGGCTGCTACTGAGGAGGTCCATTAGGGCTGTGTCCATCCTGTGCCCATCTCTGTGCTTGTACTGAGGCCACATGGGTGCCCCCAGCAGGTCCTGGAGGGTGCAGAACAGGGGACTGGCTTGAGAACTTCCTGACGGCTCACATGAATGTCCAAGATGCTTCCACCATACTTTCTATCCTTCCTTCCCTCTCTCCTCCACTGGGAGTTTGGTGGCCGCAGGGCCTCTCTTGCATTTCCCTTGATACATTACTTGTATGTTTAATCCCATTTTGGCATCTGCTCTGGAGGATCTGAACTAATCCATCAAACCTTGCCCCTGGCTCCACATAGACCATGCCCTTGGCCTGTTCCTCATCTGCCCTGAGAATGACCTTCGAAGAGACACTAACCCCAGTTCTGACTGAGCTCAGACTCCATCAATTCAGTGTGTGTTGGGCCAGAGCACAGCTTCTCCTCTCTGTCTTAGAGTAAACCCAGCCTGATCCTGGCCATAGCCTGTGCCCTGAACCTGCCTGACCATTAACCCTGCTGCCAAACTGACGCTTACCTTGGACCACACCAGTGCCTATTGCCTATTACCCCAGGCTAAGCCAGATCTTGGATGGGATCCACTGGTCATAATCACATTCCCAGACAGACATCAAACCCCTTGGGCTCATGTGTGTTTATTTTAATTATTATTGTTATTATTTTTTGAATCTCACTCTGTCACTCAGACTGGAGTGCAGTGGTTCAATCATGGCTCACTGCAGCCTCAACCTCCTGGGCTCAGGTGGTCTTTCTGACTGAGCCTCCTGAGTAGCCAAAATTACAGATGTGTGCCACCATGCCTGGCTAATTTTTTTTACTTGTTTGTAGAAACAGGTTCTCACTATGTTGCCCAGGCTGGTCTCAAACTCCTGAGGTCAAGCGATCCTCCTGCCTCAGCCTCCCAAAGTGCTATGATTACAGGCATGAGTCACCACACCCAGCCTATTTTATTTTTTTAGAGACAGGGTCTCACTCTGTTGCCCAGACTGAGTACAGTGGGGTGATCCTAGCTCATTGCAACCTCAAACCCCTGGGCTCAAGTGATCCTCCCACCTCAGCCTCCTAAGTAGCTGGGACTACAGGCATGTGTCACCATGCCTGATCAATTTTTTTCTTTTTTGCAGAGATAGGATCTCACTAATATTATCCAGGCTGGTCTTGAACTCCTGCCCTTAAGTGATCCTCCTGCCTTAGCCTCCCAAAGTGCTGGAATTACAGGCATGAACCACCATGCCTGGCCATGTGTGTTTGTTTGTTTGTTTGTTGAGTCAGGGTCTTGCTCCATTACCCAGACTGGAGAGCAGTGGCATGATCACAGCTCACTGCAGCATTGATCTCCTGGGCTCAGGCAATCCTTCCACCTCAGTCTTCAGAGTAGCTGGGATGCCAGGTGCATGCCATCGCACTTGCTCATTTTTTTATTTTTTGTAGAGACAAGGCCTAGCTATGTTGCCTAGGCTGGTCTTGAACTCCTGGCCTCCCACCTTGGCCTTCCTAAGTGCAGAGATTACAGGCGTTAATCACCTCAGGTGACCTCATGTGTGTTTATTTTAAATGCTTTCTGTGTGGGAGTTGGGTAGACTGGGTTGGGCAGGTCCCCACGCCTGCCCCTAAGGGGTCCCAGTCTGGGAAAATGGTCCTAGTCATTTACAGGTTCATGCACACTCCCTGTGCATGTGAGAAGACCTCTCTGAGGAAGAGGCTGTGAGGAAGACCTGGAAAGGCAAGGATATTTCAAGGAAGGCATTCGAGGAGGAAGAACCTGCTGGGCTGGAGTCAGAGGGGTGAGGTCACAGTGTTGATGACTCCCAGAGAGGCCTCTTCCTTGTGTGTCCAGTTGTGCATTCCTCATTCAGCCCTGAGCGGGGCACTGGGGTACCACCATGAGTGCTCAGTCTGCTGGTGGGCACGCTGGCACCTCACACTTGGCCCCACAGGTATGATCTTGGGCCTGGGCACATCGGGGATGTCTTCTGGAGAAGTCCATGCTCCAGTAGGGCCTGACATGATGAATGGGGAAGGTGGGGTAGGAGGTTTGGGTATGGTAGCCAGGCTGAGAAAGGACAGCAGATGTGGACAGGACAGGGGCCTCTTCCTCAGAGAGACTTCCTCACAGGCACAGGGGGCATGCATGCCTCTTGAGCAGAGAGGACAGAGGCCAGAAACCTGAGGATACTGGCAAGGAATGAGGCATAGGATGACAAATGGGGGCGATGGGTCACAAGGGCAGCTAGGACGGCCCAACAGGCTGGAAAGCCCAGGTCAGATACAAGATAGAGGCCCAGGAAGCGGCAGGAGAGCAGCTTCAGTATCCTCCCACACACCTTGGATCAGGAGGTCTGGTACCACCTGGGCTAGATGCCACCTGGGCCAGGTGCCAGGCCCAAGACTGGGGCAGAGTACATACTTCAGGAGCTGGGAGAACAAGAGGCCTGGTGTGGGACAGCGTGATCCATGGGTGCCGACTGCCCCTCTCCGTCACACGGCTGTCACGGTAGGCGCCTGGAGTAGAAGGGGGGTGAGCACCGGCATCCGGCACTAGGCCCAGGGACGTGGAGTGCTGGGGTGTCCAAGTCAAATTCTGGCCCGTGGGCCCCAACCCTGACCCTCAAGTTCGGAGGGGTCCAGAGCAGCCCCAGTGGCCCGCGAGGCTCCGGCGCTGGAAGGGGCTGTCGGCGTAGATGGGCGGGGGCCGAGCGGGGTGGGCGTGGCTCTGGGAGAGGCGGAGAAGGCGGGGCCCGCGGGGTTGGCCTTGCGCGTGGGCCAGCAGCGCCACTTGCTGGGAAGACACGTGCGCCGCCGAGGCCACTGCCGGTTCGGGGTCGCTCTGCAATTGCCCGAGGTCTGCGCAGAGAGGACGGCTCAGGCAAGGTGGGAAAGGCGTCCAGGATGCCCAGCTCCCAGGTCCCTGGCCCTCCACCCGTCCACTCCGCCCTAGCACCCGCCACTACTCCTAGATCCCAGCCCCAGCAAGGCAGGTCCTCACCCTGGAACAGGGAGTCCAGCAGGTCCTGGTTGATGCAGCTGGGGCTTGCGTGATGGACAAGGAATCCTGGACCACAGCAAAACGGTGAGCAGTGGACCCATGCCCCAGCAAGTTGGGGATAGCCCAGTGCCAAGAGCCCTGGTGTGAGGGAGAGTGTGACCCCCAGGATGGCCTCACCTATGAGCACAGTGGCTGCATGGCGCAGGGGGTCCTGCGGGCTCCGCAGGTAGCCCTGTGTCTGGCTCAGGAAGTTGGGTATGTGACTCGGGTATCGCTGAACCTGGATACAAAAGGGCATGGCAGGACAGAAGGGCCAATCCTGAGCGGGGAAAAGGCTGCAGAGCTGAACCTAGAGGCTGGGAGTCCTGGGGAGCTCCCAGGGCAAGTGGCATGGCCTGAGGCCTTGGACCTGCCCCACTGGATGCCTGACTGGGGTGGGTCTCCCTTTTAGGGGCCCTAGTGAATACTAAAACAAGTGGGCAGACCCCTTTCATGGTTATGGTGCTTTCCCTACTGACCAGGCGGTGGCACACTCGGCTTAGAGCCTCAGGGCTGTCGTAGTGGGCCACAGTAACCATCTCCTCCAGCAGGCCCCAGCGAAGTGCCTGGTCACAGCGGGCCAGGGTCCACTCTGAGCTCTGGGGTGGGGAAGGGAGCAGAATTAGGGGTCCACGAAGTGGCAAAAGGAGGGGTGGGGAAGTGGGAAGAGTGGCCAGGATGAGGGGTGGAAGAGCAGGGACTTGAGGGCATGACCAAGAGAAGACCAGGAGCCTGGCAGCCCATGATACCTACAGAGGTCAGGGAGGGAGAGGTCCCTGACTGTAATCTTCGGAGAGGCGGCAGGGTGGGAGTGGGCAGTGTTGGGTGGGACAGGGGTGGGATGGTCTCCGGGGCCGACTGACCTCAGCAGCGTCCTGGATGGGATCATGCAGGCGCAACAGCAGCGGCACGAGACTCTGCAGCACCAGCTTCCGCAGGGGGCCGCGTAGTCCCAGCCGGAGCCCGCCGCGGCCCCGTCTCACTAGTGTCCCGAGGAGACCCACCGCGGAGGCGCGGACTGAGTCCCGGGCCTGCGTGGGAAGGTGTGGTCAGGACTTGCAGAAGGGGAGAGGACTGCAAGGGTAGGAGGGGCGGCCAGGGCAGAACGAGGAAACAGAGGGTCTAGCGAGGGCGTGGTCTGGGGGCGGGGCCTGGAGTGGGACGTGGAGACGGGAGCACAGGGAGAGTCTGGAGGG